TTATATCTTTATGTTTGAAGCCTGAAATGTGGCAAAAGGTTGAAAAGTTCAAGGGGGCCGAATACTTTCGCAAGGCACTGTATATACAGTACACCGTTAAACATAGTTTCCACTTTTATCCTGTTAAAGTGCAAGAAAGCCATATCTTTAACACAACATTCATTTAAAACATTAAAGTCCAATTTTTAAAAAAATTACACTTTTCCCTCTGTTCAAACAAAACAATTTCCCCAAACGTTAGCATTTCCCTTATTTAATCTAGAAGGAAATTATCGTGCCCAGATGTGCCTAAAACTGCATCTGGCCTTTCTTGCACTGTGAGGTTTACCTACCTCTGTGTGAACCAACCTGCTTCTTCTGCTTTGTGTTCTTCATATTTTAACCCTGATGCCAATTTGTTGTACAACTTTTTTACTTTACCAAACGTCATACAGTAGTATGACAGCAGTAGGATTGTAGGGGCTTTCAATCGAAAGGGAAGGAGGGAAGACATTCGGGAGGGATGAAAACAGCCAAATGTAATCAGATTCAGCTGTCAGTTATTCGCAATAGCTCTTGACATAATTCCGTCACCTAAAACATTAGAAACACATGATCCCCTTCTCTCTCTCGCATACAGTACGTCTTTTTGCACCCCACCTCTACACCATCTCCACCTCTGCAGCTGCCTCTTGGTCACTCCTCACTCTGCATGGGAATTCTAGCCTCCTTGTCCCGGCCTACTAACCAGGAGGTTAGCGCTCTGACAAATTTTTACTAAAACACTCCATAATCCTTTCAGAACAATTAATTCTTGGGTGTTGTTATTCCTAATAAAACTGAACTACTGAATTTTTGATCTCCTCTGTCATCGCCAGGCTTGCTATAAAAAATCATTCCCCACCAAGAGAAGCCTTTCTATGAAATCACTACTGATGAACTGAAATACAGTTCTATCAAGACATTATATTCTTTTTTCAGAGCTAATTAGTTACTTGTATTGAACAGCAGCAGTATTTCATCACAACCTGAACTAAACAGTCATCAATAACCAATAAAAAGGATGCTGTCTGAGCTCCATGAACAGCATTACTGCTTCTGATGCAAACTCACTCTTAGAACTGCACATTTATTTGCATCAATGATGTAAGTCATTTAATTCAGTCTTTTGAAGAACATTTCAGCTCTGTTAGTGTTCATCCCAGAACAGTAAAGCTTTGACATTTGTCAATTCAATTCAATTTACTTTTATATAGCGCCTTTCACAACGAGGTTGCCCCAGGGTGCTTAACAATACAATTGACGATACATTTTGTCAATACAGAACAGAAGACCAGAAGACAACGGAGGAGAGGAACCAAAACCTCCTTAGTAAGGAGAGAAAAAACCTCTAGGGGTTAACTGGTTGCCCAACCCCTTTGGGCATGCTAACATTATATAATTTTAAAAAAGGAAACAATGAGGGTCTTATGTGGTCGTCCACATAAGAGCTTTACAACAAGGCCCTATGAAGTGTAAAGAGAAGTTTTCATCTCCCAGCAATCGCATTCCCTGACTGATTAAACTAAATGAAAAGGTTTCAGCGATTAAGCGCCGTTTGTGTAGAGGCTGTGCTTCGCAGCTGTCTGGAGGTGTTTAATAAATCACACCTTTCTACTATAGCAGACAGAAATGTCTGCTATAAGATCTTTCAAACTTCTTTTTAATCATGGATTCTGCGCACAGTCTATCATTGTATGAAGTTGTAATTCATTTTGACAGTGCAACGCATCTGCCGAATAGATAGTCAAAACTGAAGACTGGGACGATTCATTCATAATCAGGAGCGTAATTTACATTTAAATATCGTGTCACAACATAATACAGTATGTCAGGTGGGTAGCTGCGTCTGCATGCGTAGGCTGCAAAGGAACGAGTAATAGGTTTATTCCATGCTGAAAAGAGAAGAAAGAAAACCCAACGTTTCGGCCATGGAGCACATTGTGTTTTCTTTCTTCTCTTTTCACCATGGAATAAACCTATTACTTGTTCCTTTGCAGCTTACGCAAGTATACAGTATGTATGTATGCAATACAGTACAATATTTCTGTTGTGCAGTATGTACAGTAGATGAGCATCTTTTTCTGTATCCCTTAAATGTTCTCATTCTACATTATTTATCACCATATCTCCATCATTTAAGTAAAATATTAAATCCACTTGCAAAGCACATAAAAAGCTGAACTCGTGTTCATTATTTTTAGAGATATTTAGAACAGCGAATATCATTACAAGACCCAGACAAAATCTCTAACTGATATATTTGATGTATACAGGTTACAAATTTTGAAATATCAATTTGTACTTTCTAACTCGGTATTGTAGAAACAGACTGAACGACAATAAAGAAAAGGTAAAGACGAAAAAAGGGATTGGAACAAAAATCAATAAAGGGGCAGACATATAAAAGAGAATAAAACATACACTTCTTATTCCCTTTGAATTGCAACAGTAAATACATCTCCAGTATTCTACCCTGTCTGATTTGTTTTGCTCACCTGCATGTAAATAGACTTCATAGTGCATTTAAAACGAAACACTGGCTGGTGGGATTGAAACTCACATTCCTTAACCTTGCTTTTAATCAGTGTCCGTAAAAGTACAGCTGTTCATGACATACCCTTCAAATGATGATGTAGCACGTTCTTACCCTAAGGACAATTTGCATTGACAGTTAAGCGCTCTTTTACACGATGTTATCCACAAATATCACCCTCCGTTTTTACAGTATGTCTTACAAGCACAGGCTGTAAAAACACGGCACACGGTACAAAGTACAAAACACATGGTACTGTGACTGATCATAAAATCTTAAAAACCAAGCGGGAGCTCTAAATTCCAAGCAATCTGTTCAATACGAAATAAAGTATATAACATTAGATCTTATACAACACCAAGACATCTGAGGGGGTGACACCCTATGACACTTCTGACTTCCATGTACAATTGAGTGATTTAATGTGTCAAATACATAGAGCTCGTTTTGATCTATCCATTGTGCATGGCCTTAAATTAGAAAGACGAATTGTAGCTGCAGAAATCAGTTTACAGCTGGCTACCTTACCAGACAAACCCAGGAGAACTGAGGAGTTCCTGACGCTTCCCTTGGAACAGGATTCCCGTGGAAGTCAGTAATCTGTGCGTGGGCTCAGTTCATTTAGAAACCTGGAAATGGATGTATCGTACCAGTCCAAACCACGAAAGGAATTATGACTTCTTTAAAACGCAAAAAAAAATCCGTCTCAATTAAAACCGAGAACAAAAATCACCGTTCACTGCACCTGTCCCAGTGTAGCCTCGCTGCTCCACTGTTCCGTGGTTTTCAGCCAATCCGAACAGCTATGAGCCGCCGCAGCCGCTTCATAAAGGATGCGCTTAATCTAATTTGGCCCCTGTTGCTGCAGTAATAAAAGTGCGTATTTGTGTTAGTGATCCAGTCGCTTCAGACCGCAAATCCCTTTCCTTTCCCCCACTCCGCTCAGACTCATCTAGCCTTTAGCGCATCATTTAACCCCCCCGCCTCTTGTGTCGCTCCCCCGCCTGTATTGTTCTTCGCCTTTGGACTACGCTGCCAGTTTACCCTGTATTTTGACCATTCTATTTTGTGATTGGTAACGAGTATTGCATCACCACATGTCCGATCCAATCACTAAAGCCTCAAACACGCTTCTGGATTTTTGGATTGTATTATTTCCGCGTAATAAAGAGGAGCCTTTCATTAACGACTTTTCTTTTAAGAACTTGCTCTCCAATGCAACACGTGTCCCACTGTCTACAATTCTCTCTGCTGCCTAAGGTCTTTAACTTCATATGTTCTTTATCCAACATTACAATATACTAAATATAGGAAGCTCATATTTAAAACGATACTTATTCAATACTTATTCAAGCCCCGTGCAGCATACATCATTATAGAGGCCAAGCGTGAAAAGTAATCATCCATTTGGAAAACGGAAAGATTGTATAGATAATGAAGGTAATGTAATGCATATCTTGTCAAATGAGTTATTTTAGTGTTTAGGGTTATCGTACCGTATCGACGGAGCACTATTATTCCAACATATTTTAATGAAAATCAATGAAAGAGGTGGCACTAGTAAAATTAATGTTGAAATAAAATGCTTCCAGGTGTTTTTCAGTCACACGGAATCCAAAAATAAGTGAGCTTAGATATAACAATTACTGAAGATGGACTTTCCTAGCCTAATTGCAAAAGTCTACAGTCTTCCAACAGATCTGTAGACAGTTTTAAGAAAAAATAAATGCAATAATAATACAGGAAAGCACACTCAGACAAAAGAAAAATAGAAAGATTTCCCTGTGAACCATAGGATGTACTACAACGTAAATTGTAATAAATTTGTTGAAACAAATTCAAATAACATTGCATGTCACAGTGGGCTTGAAACATTAACATTAAAAATACAACATTATGTAAATACTGCAATATTACAGTATGCTTCTTTATGCACTGCATTATGTAATAAAGTAATACAATGTACAGGTCAGCATGTATTGCTGTTCAGAAATATGGTTTTACCTGGAAATATTACCAACATTCTTGAAATAGAAAGGAGGGGGGTACACTTAATATAATCACTGATTTATACACATCTTTAATATCTATGTATAATATCCAAATGCAAATATACCCGTGGAATAGATAGATACTTTATTGATGCCGTGAGGGAGATTGCAGTGCAACAGCAGCTTACAACACAGACAACACAGAAACAGTGTAACAAATGATACAATAATAATAATACAATACATACAATACAAACACACAGAGTCGTATTGCACAATATAAATATAAATGTATTGCACAGGCCCCTGGCATATATTGCGGAAAAACGGTTGTAAATGGAAAAAAGAAAAAGAACAGATGTATCAATTTACTGTTCAGTCCAGAAACAGGTCACTGTCAATGTTGCCTCTGCCCAGACGCAAGGTGGATGCGTTGTGCAGTCTTATGGCAGAAGAATGACCTCCTGTAGCGCTCCCTGTCGCACCGTGGATGAACCAGTCTATTGCTGAACGTGCTCTTCATTTCTACAAGCATGTCATAGAGGGGATGGGAGAAGTTGTCCATGATGGCTTCTAGTTTGGATACCATCCAGGGGGTCCAGGCCAGACCCAATGACAGAGCTTGCTCTTCTGATGAGCTTGTTCAGCCTGTTAGAATCCACTGCTCTAATCTCAGAGCCCCAGCATACCACCGTGTAGAAAATGGCGCTCGTCACCACAGACTGAAAGAACATATGTAGCATCTAACTACATACATTGAAAGACCTGAGACTCCTCAAGAAGTAAAGTCGGCTCTGACCCTTCTTGTAAATTCTTCTTCTTGTACACTCCCAGGTACTTGAAGGAGTCCACTATCTCCACACCACTCCCATGGATGTAGACAGGAGTAGGTTTGACCCTTTTCCTCCTGAAATCTGCCACAAGTTCCTTCATCTTTGTTACATTCAATTGCAGGTGGTTCTCCCAACACCACTCCACAAAGCTGCTTACCAGTCCCCTGTACTCCTCCTTCTGCCCACCCTTGATACATCCCACAATTGCAGAGTCATCTGAGAGCTTCTGCAGGTGGCACGACTTTGAGTTGTATATAAAGTCCGAAGTATAGAGGGTGAATAGGAACGGAGAAAGAACTGTCCCCTGAGGAGCCCCTGCGTTACTTACTACCTGTTCAGACACACAGTTGTGAAGTCTCACAGACTGTGGTCTGCTTGTCAGATAGTCCGTGATCCATGAGAACCACTGACTTGCATCTCCTCCAGCTTCCTCCTTAGAAGTAAGGGCTAGATAGTATTGAAGGCACTGGAGAAGTCGCAAAACATAGTCCTTACAGTGTTGCCAGCCTTGTCCAGTGTGAGTAGGCTATTTGCAGCATGTAGATGATTGCATCCTCCACACCAGCACTGGGCTGGTAGGCGAACTGTAGGGTGTCCAGTGATGAACTAACCAGAGGTCTCAGGTGGGATAAGACCAGCCTCTCCAGTGTCTTCATGACGTGAGAAGTCAGCGCAACTGGTCTGTAGTCATTGAGGACAGAGGGGCGCCCTTTCTTTGGTACCAGGACCAGGCATGATGTCTTCCAGAGCACAGGAACTTTCTCCAGGCGAATCTGACATATGTTAATAAACTCTTTCTATCAGAGGTCACATTTGCTTCTTAGTCAATAAAGAGAGAATTAACTGAAATAGGGGAGGCATCGCGGTACACATGAGAACTAAAATGTTGTAAAGGCAGGGTGCAAAGGCATTAACAACTTAGTGGATATCTTCAAATGAACAAGAGGACATGAGTAAAAATGCTGTGGAAGTGAATTTTAAACTAAGATCAGGTAGCCCTTCTTTAGACAGAGAGCTGAGGGAGTACGTAATGAGCTGTCCAGCTAAGTTGAAAATGGTACTCTGGCTTCGTTCATGAAAGGGGTGCTCGGGATCAATTAGTTGCTACTTACCAAATGGACCGAACAGGAGGAATGGTGTCATCTCGTTTGTAAGCATTCTTATGTTTAAATTTAAGTGAGTTGTACTCACTTGGCTCCAAGTTAAGATAAAAACTACTGTAGTATATGTTCATGTTTACCCTTTGGAAGGATGGCTATTCTGGGTGTCGCATCCTGGATTGCTGTTAATAATAAACAGATACAGAAAACAACTAGGGGCTTTTAAAGCAAAAGGCAGAAAATGAAAACAAATAAAAGAGAAGACACAGATCCAGGGCTCAAAATATCTTAAGCAGTACTTAGCGCTTTGGTGATTTCTATATTGCAGAAAATCCCATAGTATCAAATAGTGACAAAGTCACAGTTTGTAAACTTCTCCTAAGGAAACTGACTAAAATGCCCAAAACAGGCACTGGACCCCAGACATTGATCAAAGAAGAATTAGAAAATAGTACTAGAGACACATGAGGCACAAGAGTACTAAAGACATGAGTCAAGTGTTGAGCTTTTGAAAGTGAAATCAATGAGAGACATTTCTAATTGCCCCCACAAAAGCACTTTTCGGAGAAATGTGGGGGGTAAAATTAATTTTCTTCATTTAATTTTTAATTTGTAGATACTTTACTTTTTATACGATTACTCTCTTTCATGTGGGTTCTAAAGAGATGACTGGATTTTATTACTACAGAATAAAGAAAAGGTTTAATACTACACAATGTTCTGATAATAGTACTTGGCATTTGGTTGCCTAAGGAATGGAATATTCACCTTTTCCTCTGTAAATCAGTAAGGTTGATTACAGAGTCTCCTCCCAGGAATCATATTTTATGTGACAGTTCTTGTCTTCTACTGTTTCTTCCTGTGACACAGCTGAGTTTATAAATCCATATCAATGCCACTCAAGTCCATAAATCAAAACCTGACATATTGTCCCCTGATGTATTAGGGATAATTTATGTGTTTTTCCAAATAACTAAGCATATACTGCAAGAATCTAGAAACCCAGAGAGCTTCAGTAGATGGATAAGAAACACTCAGAGATCTAAATAGAAGAGAAAAGATGAAGGAAAATGAAGGAAAAATATTTGGAGCCATAGAGGAAATATAATAGGAGTAAATTTGGAATGGTAGAACATACTGTAAGAGATGGCATGTACAAATGGAAACATAAAAATATATTTTTAAAAAATGTTCTCCCATTCTGTTGTAGTGTAGAACTGGAGCTGCTTTGCTGGTACACAAGCAAGAGACATAGTAAAGACAGGGAGAAGTATCATATTGTTTCCTTTCTCTATTGTGATGCAATAACCCAAGTAATGTGAAGTGTGGAAGTGTTGCTTGTCTTTCACCATGAAACTGGTCTTACAAACACTGCCAGATTAAACCCAATAACAAACGGAACATAAAAGAAGGTATAGACTGCAAAATTGATGGGTGAGCTGAGATCTTGTAGACAGAACTGTAAAGGAGAAAGAGAAGGAAGACTTCAGCCAATGTTCTTTCTTCCTGGGTGATTTAGTTTCAGATTGAAGGCGACCTATGCCATTGCATTGTCCTTCCACATGAGCATGTCTGTCAGTGTCTACATGGTGCATGAGATCATTCTGTCCTCCTGTTCCTCCTGTGGTTAATATTTTCTTTCATGTCACAAAATCATAATTTCTTTGATGAAGGAAGGGGGTTCCTTTAAATGTGACAGAAGGGGCAAAACAAGACAATTGTGCAATTGAAAAGACTTGCAAGAGTAGAAAACTAATCTGATTGAATAATTTCTAACAGATGAATCTTTAAACTTCAGAAATCTTAATTGCAGATCATAATGAGATCATATAGTTTCACCAAGAGCGTTAAAAATAAAACACCCTCCATAAAGAAAATTCAACAAAAGTTTGGGAGGGAAAACAACAGCCAAGTTAAATCTGCCTCAGCTGTACTAAACCGTTATCATTATTGAAGTAAATTTCACATGTTAGAAAATTATTTGTCTCCCTCACATCCCTCTCTGCACAGAGGTCTGAGTTTCGTAGTCCAGGAGCTGCCCTTCAGCAGATTAAGCCAAATTCACTAAAACTAAA